ACACTCACTGTGATTTGCTCTTGTGAGTCACAGACTCTTCCTACCTCAATCCTATTTCGATCCTGTTCCCTCCCCGGGGACCGAGTGTCCCTCAGGCCTCAGCTCCTGCTGCCCTGTGGAACCCCTTCCTCCCCTGGGCTGCGGCTCCTCCAGCCGTCAGAGCCTGGGGGCCCGGGTCACGGTCCCTCTCATGTCACAATGCAAACACCTGCCCCCTTGCCTGGAGCTCCGCTACTGTGAGGTCAGGGGTTCAGGGGCCGTGGCCCTCAGAGCTTCACGTGTGGTCCCGTCCCCAGCTCCCAGCACCCCCCGCACCCAGCACATACGAGCTCCACGAACGAATGAACAGCACCCAGGGACGTATGTTTGAAGGACGGCCCAGCGACCCCGCAGGAGAAGCCCTGCTGGGCACAGGCTGGAGGCCACAGCGCAGGCCACCGCTGCTCGTGGGGCAAAGCGGGTCACCGGCCTGCACAGCCGCGAACGCTGTGAGAGGAGGCGGGACTCCAGGGCGAGCCGGGGTGCGACCGATTGAGATAGAGATGAACCGGGCGTCCCGATGACGGTCGTTAATGGATGGTGCTGACCTGAGTGACACCGAGGGTGCTGTGTGAGGCCCTGGACGTGACGGCAGAGTTGAATGTGCCCCCGGCTGAGAACTGAAAGCCAATTAAAAGGAAAATGTGATTTTTTTCCATGACGGTTTTCTGAGTCAAGGTCATATTGTAAGTAAGCTGATGTTCTGTGTGGAGAGTTTACAGAGAGATACAGACCTTCCCAACCGCGCAGGTGAGAAATTAATAAAGAGAAAACTCATGCAGAGAACCACCCATCAGAGATCCCGGGCTCTCCAAACGGTGACGCTCCCGAGGCAGGGAGGCCCCCCTGCTGGTCCCACACAGAGAGGGGGACGGCTGTGGGGACCGAGGAAGCCACCTGGGTGTCGCCAGCCCTGGGACACGGAGCCCCCGCCAGGTCAGCCCGCCCCAGGTGAAGTGGACCTCAGGTGGGTCTAACTCGGGCTGGTCCCCACCAGCTTCTTCCTTCCTAAGAACTTGGCTGTGGGGCTGTCGGAGTTCAGGGGCTCAGGCCTGGAATGTAAAGAAGAAATGAACAAGCGGGTTTTCTCACTAAGGACACACAGCAGAGGCTGGACAAGGTCACCTGTCTCATCAAGGTCGATCCCGGTCATGCCCATCAACACGCCTTCACCTGGAGCTTAGGAGGCGGCCCTGGAGGGAACAGACCTTATCTCCGGTCTTATCACCCTGGGAACAGATCTTATCTCCGGTCCTATCACCCAGGGAAGCTCCAGGCCGCAGAGCCAGCCCTGTGTGTCCCTCGGAACAAACAAGCCAAGAGGCCTGTTCTCCACCGGCTACCACGGAAGCGAACGTCACCATGGCTGCCCAGGAGGTCACACACTGAGGAGTCCTGGGAGGTCACACAAGATTTCCTTGTAAAAATATATTTTATTTAAAATCTACATGATTTTTAAAATCTATATTCTCTCTAAAAAGGTGGAAATAGTGCACAGGTGTATCTCATGGCAAGAATGTTGATCTGAGTGACACTGAGGGTGTCCTCTCCTCCCACAATTTCTACTGTCGAGAAAGGGGCCTGCTCCGAGTCTCCTTATAGACGCATTGCATGCAGGTACACGCGTGCATGCATGTACATGTCTATATTCATACATGCCCGTCCTGTTTGTGTTCAGAAACCACACAATAATTCCCAACAGAAGTCTTTTAAAAAACGTTCCCACTCAATCACATCAAGCTCTCCTCCAGCCTGGCTTTCTGCAGCTTCCCACAAATCTTTCCCGGAGTTAACAGTCCCAGATAAGCAGCTGCTGAGGACAGGAATTTTCAAACCAGCCGGGCCACTTGCGCCAGACGTTTCTCAATGATTTCCCAGGGACCTACTGACTTGCAAACAAAAGCAAACCGGGATGGCATCCTGGCTGGCTCTGCATTCTGACGGCTCCCAGATTTAAGAAGCCAAGTTCTCCAACAGTGATTAGAGCCGAGGCGGCCACTGCACTAGGTAAAGCCCACAGAGGATGGGGTCGTGGGGTTAGGGCCAGTCTCCGAGGCACCGACACTCTGGCCCCGGGCTCCTACAGTCACGTTAACGCTTCGGAAGTTGACATAATTTGTTCCCTAAGACTGAAGTTCTTTCATGTTCTGCAGCACTGACCCTTTCTGTTGGTGGGGAAGGGACCGTGATGGGTCCATACGGTGCGGATGTACAATATCGTATCCTGTGTGCTTATGTTCTGTAACATGAGCCATTCCTTCGCTGTGAGGGCCACATCTACTAGAAGCGGTAGGCAAAAAGCCTAAGGACGCCAGGCTAAGCCCTGATCTCTTGCCTTGTGGGGCGTGGCTGTGGGTTCCAGCAGTTAAATGAGTAACACTGCGCTGCTTTATGGTGTCATAACAGCCAAGTTCATTAACTCCCAGAAACCTAATGACTAAGCCTCTAACTCACACGGGAGGACAGGGCTTCTTGGTGCAGACTGACTCCCGGGCCCGGTTGCGCTCTCGTAGGAAACTATAGTCCGCGTGTCCACGGATGATTGACGCCGTCCGTCAGAACAATGGACAGAAGCCTGCGGAACGTGCTCGTGGTCTCCCTGGGGTTTCTGCTGCTCTTCACGGCCTACGGAGGCCTCCAGAGCCTGCAGGTAAGGCCCTTGCACAAGGCCCTCTCATCGCCTTGGCCTCCGGGAATCCCCGTGGCCACAGACGGCGGGGAACGTGGGATTGCTCACTGTGCCACTCACCCCCCAAACCCCTGGAGCAGCAGTGGCTTGGACGTGCAGGCCCACAGGGGTGGGTCTCACTCCCAGCCCAGCGCAGTTGCACAACCGAGGGCGTGTAGCTGACCCTTGGACCAGGAGAGCAGGCCTGGGCTGCTGCCGGATAAGATATCTTTATCTCTGGGTGGTTTACAGGAGACCAGGAAGAATCCCTGGATTCTCTGTGCTCAGGGGCAGCGATGGGAATGTGTCAGATTTCACTAGACCACGTAGAGTCCGTGAGAGTGGACAAGTGGCGTCTGCCTGTCACCTCGGGACGGGGCCTGTGCAGATGCATCCCCGGCACCTCCCACCCTCCCCAGGCACCTCCCATCCTCCAGAGCCCACGTGCTCCCCTCCCCCCAAAAAAGTCTCCCCGGCTCCACTGGCTGACCACCAGGCCCGTTGCTGGTGTTACCAACACGTCAGCTCCCACCGTCCCTGAACCACAGCCCTTTCCCGTGGCTCAGCCTCCTCCCCTCGCCCCCCCTTTCTCCCTCTGCCTCCCCCTGACCTGCCTGGTCTTCCTTCCTCGGACAGGCGAGGTAAAAGGACAGGGAGTCTGTTCTGGTTTCCGACTTGACCTCTGGTCACTTCCTACCAGGCTGCACCAGGCACTCAGCTCAAAAATGACAAAAATGTGGAGAATTGAGGTCGGCGGCCCAGAAGGCCGCTCTCCCCTCTGACTCCGCAGGAGTCCCTCCCGCGGGGCCTGGACACGCTCGTCCCAGCGGCCTCGCCTGTCCTTGGAGGACAGCAGGTGTCCCAGGCGCAGGAGGCCTCCCAGGCCGTCCTCCCCCGGCCCTGCTTTCCCCCCCGGAGTCGCCAGCCGCAGTTTCCTTCGCCGCCCACGGCTGGCGGCGAGTCCCCCCCAGTCGGCCTGCCGCCGGCGGGCTTGGGGCTGCGGGGGCAACGAGCCCCGTCCCCTCGGCCCCGTCCTCCCGAGCGCTCACTGTGTCCCCACAGAGCAGCCTGTACGGCGAGGAGGGCATGGGGGTGACGGTGCTGAGCACGCTCTACGGCGCGGTGCTGCTCTCGTCCATGCTCCTGCCGCCGCTGCTCATCCGCATCCTGGGCTGCAAGTGGACCATCGTCGCCTCCATGTGCTGCTACGTGACCTTCTCCCTGGGCAACTTCTACGCCAGCTGGTACACCCTGCCTGCCGCGGGCCCGGGCCTGGTCCTCCCGGGCGCAGCAGTGGGCGCGCCCTTCGCCCTCGCCCCAGCCACCGCCCCGGCCCCGCTTTACAACGAGCTCGGCTTCCCCAGGCCTCCCCTCGGCTTCTGCGCAGGACCCTGCTGAGGCCTGTCCCCTCTGCTGTCCCCTCTGCTGTCCCCTCCTCCCCGTTCCCGCACTGACTCCCCCGGGGCCTGTGCGGGGCTCCCTCTCGGTGCCGGGAAGTTTTACTGCCCCAGGAACAATGAGGAGAATCCAGGATGCCCAGGGCAGGTGCCAGGGGGACCTAGCAGAGGGGATGGAGGGAGGACACGCTCGTCCTCCCCGCAGGCGGTGGACTCGGCAGGGTGGGAGCCCGGCACCCACCCTGCGCTCTGCCTCCTCCCTGAAGGAAAGGGACCTCGGGGACCAAGCTCTAAGCTCACGGGCCCCGCGCCCTGTTCCCAGGCACGCCTGCCAGCCTTCCTTGAGGGACACGGCTTGTCACCCAGGACACACTGGTTATGACAGCCTCACAGCCTTCTGGCTCGCGTTACCACGGAGGTTCACGCAGAGTGTCCGTCAATGGCTGTCACCTGCCGAGCTGTTAGGGACACCTGGACCCGCCCCCTCTTGCTGGCGATCCCGGCTCCCAGCTCAGGGCCGTTGCCCTCAACACAAAGGAGGCCCCGGGTCTCGCAAGTGAACCTGAACCAGACGAGGCGCAGACTTTGCTCGTGTCTCCGAGTCTAACGGTGGTCAGGAGGGGACAGGCCCGTCCGCCCAACGGGTCCACAGACACAGCAGTGCTTCCAGGGGGCCAGGCCTGAGGCCTCCTCCCCCGCGGAGGGGGGCGGAGGGGACGGCGGGCCCTTACGTGCGGGTCTTGCCCGACAGGTACACCCTGATCCCCACCTCCATCCTGCTGGGCCTCGGAGCGGCCCCGCTGTGGTCCGCGCAGTGCACCTACCTCACCCTCGCGGGGAACGCCCGGGCAGAGGCGGCGGGCAGGCCGGGCAGGGACGTGGTGAACCAGTACTTCGGCATCTTCTTCCTCATATTCCAGTCGTCGGGCGTGTGGGGGAACCTCATCTCCTCTCTGGTGTTTGGCCAGAAGCCCACACAAGGTAAGAGGAGACGGCCCCACGGGGGGCCCGAGAGCGTCTCTGACCCCGGGCGAGCACGCCGGCGTCACGGGACTCGCGCGGTGATCACGTGGGCCCTCAAGGCGCGGTTCTCCCGCCTGTGCCTCGCCTCACCTGCCTCCCGGCTCCTCCCCGGCGGTGCTGTGGCCGGAGGTTCCCCGACTCTGAGCCTCCCTCCCCTGGGGAAGCTGAGGCCGCCACCCGTGGACCTTGGGTCTGTGGAGTCAACACTGTCCTCCCGATTGTTCAAGAACAGGTTCAAGTGACCTATTTTCCCCCTGAATTGATCCGCTGGCCAGTGTTTTCTTTGTTTTTGTTTTTGTTTTTTTAAATATATCTTTATTGATTTCGGAGAGAGGGAGGGAGAGGGAGAGAGAGAGAGAAACATCAGTGATGAGAGAGTCATTGATCGGCTGCAGCCCACAACCCGGGCCTGTGCCCTGACCGGGAATCGAACCCTGATCGCCTGGATCCTAGGTCGACGCTCAACCGCTGAGCCACGCCCGGCTGGGCCAGTGTTTTATTTTATTATTATTTTTTACTTTTTTGTTCCATAGATTTTTAAATTGAACTGATCAGAGTGACGTAAAGTCACACAGGTTTCAGGTATACGATTCTACAGCACATCGCCTGTGTATATTGAATTGGGTGTTTACCAGCCCAAGACTAGTGTTTTAAATGCTCCACCTGAGACCACTTATTCCTGAACTGAAGTGAGCACTTGATGACAGACGTTCTAGGGCACCTGGCCCAGACCCCGGGCGAAGCGTGTGCCTGTCTTATGCCTGCACCCTTGGGTGCCTGAGGATTTAAACCGAGGGCCTAGGACATGAATCTCTCTGATTCTCACAAGAAACCTTAGTCAACGGGGGAAAGTGCTGACTCTCCTGTCACGGGACCACCCCCAGCCCCTCGCCCTGGCCCTCCAGTCCGTCCCATGTAAAGTCCTGCCTTTGGGAAGCCAGTCAAATCCTTCTTCCCCGTTTTCTCATGGGATGTGATGTGATGTGATAATCCACATTTTACTTTTTTTTTTTTTAAATACATCTTTATTGATTTCAGAGAGAGGAAGGGAGAGGGAGAGAGAGAGAAACATCAATGATGAGAGAGTCGTTGATCGAGCCCGCAACCCGGGCATGTGCCCTGACCGGGAATCGAATCCCGATCGCCTGGATCCCAGGTCGACGCTCAACCGCTGGGCCACACCCGGCCGGGTCACATTTTACTTTTAACAGATAGGAAAGTAACCCTCAGAAAAGATAAGAAACGGCCTGTCCCAGGCCATGGAGCTGGTACAGATGGACCTGAGTGAGAACCCAGCCATCCTGACACCCCTTCTAATACGTGTTCTTTCTCCTTGATTAATTTTTAAAAGTTGAAAATGTTCATTTATGTCAGGAAACGAATTTAACGAGTAACCAACATTTATGGCACATTTGCCCAAACTGCCCTAAAATCAAGCATACGGACACGGACCTTAGGGGAAATGGACTTTGAGACACTTGGTCAAACGAGCCACGTTTTGTGACCTTGAGCTATTGTGACGCCCAGTTTGGGGTGTGTCCACCCTCCTTTCCACCGGCACGTTCGCCCCTCCCGTCTGGTATCCTACGAAATTACCTGTGTTCTCACGTCACCTGGCTCCTCCCCCTTCACAGGGGCCATCCAGGAGGAGCAGCTCCTGTCCTGCGGGGCCAGTGACTGTGTGATGGCCACGGCGCCCACCAACCACACCCAGAGCCCCTCCCGGGAGCTGATCTACACCCTGCTGGGCATCTACACAGGTATGTGCTCACGGCCCCGGGCGGAGTTCGCGGAAAGCAAGACCCAGCTCCTTCCTGGGCTGGAAACGACCGTCTCCCCACGTCCAAGCAATGTCGCTGCTCAGAAAGTCCCCCACAGTGCGTCCGGCTGAGCGAGCTCAGGCGTTTCATTGAAATCATGTGCAGCCAACCCTGTCCTCAGGAGCAGTCAGGCCACGGACACGGGCATTGCCTTGCTCCGCAGGTGGCCTGTGAGCGTCCCCAGCCAGCGCCCCCTGGTCCCCGCTGGTGCTTGGGCCACAGCCGGGCCCCACTCACACGTCACGCCCAGTTCCCGGCTCAGAGAGGCCACAGCACCAGGGACTGAAGTCGAAGTTTGTGCGAAACAGATGCGCACGTGGAGCCTGGAGACGCCGTCTCCTGTGGCTCGATTCCCGGCTTGCTTGTGGGTCTGAAAGTCTCTTTCCCCTCAGCAAGGCCACGTTCCCGCAAAGACCAGAAAAACAGGAGGGGAGGAAAGCGGCCTGGAGGGCAGAGAACTCTCTCCCTGGGGCGACTTCCCGGGGCTGCTGGGCTCCGTCCCCATCACGAGGTCCTCCGGAGCGCGGCCTGTGGCTTGTGCAACACCCATGCCCGGCTCATGCCCTTTGAGGAGGTTCTGGGCCCCGGGCAGCTCCGGACACACGCCTGCCTCCTAGTAAGCACGTGGCTTCTGCACCTGTGACCCACCTCTCACGGGCTCCCCTCCGGCGTGGCACCTGGGTGGGGGGGTGTCCCAGCGGGATGCTCAGGGCCGCAAGGGAGGCTGTGCAGGAGGAGCTGTGGCCACTTAGTGGGCAGCGGACGCGCCTGCCCCACGTGGCTGCACACACCAGGGAGTGAGGTGGGTCCGGGAGAGGGCTTTACGGTGGACGCGCCCGAAGCGCCCGTGCCCAGGCCCGGTGGCCGCGTGTGCAGGAACCCGGGGCCACATCGGAGGCCCGAGTCTGGCCGGGGCGGCCGGCGTGGTCTC